AATTATTGGTGATACTAAAATTTCACAAGCTGATATTGTGGAAGCGAGAGGATCCCGACTAAAATTTTGCTGGTGATGAAAAGAAGAGACAACGAGGTCTCATTGGCTGCTAGATTCTCTTATTTTTATCTCAGGCCTAATCTGAAAAAAGACTTAATTTTCAAAGTGCCTCATTTCCTCACTTAGCGGTGATAGTCATGCCTCTAAAGGTTTGGCTACATGTAGGAGGAGGTGTATGCAAACTGAAATATAAACATGCCTGCCTCTCAAAGGAATATCAGAAATTTGTAAGTGACGATTACAGCCAGTCTAGAAAAACCAAGAAAACAGATCCATCTGATGGATTTACAATTAAGGGGTTAGGGAATAGGTCAGCCACGACCATGATAAAAATTTGACACTGACTATAAGCGTGAGACAAGTTTAACCAGATGCAGCGAAGCCCAGAACCAAGTTCTAAGTTAGCTCACGGTACATGGTAAATATGCCGAATTGAGATAAGGCGAGATATAATATTAAGTAAGCCTTCATCCAGCTTAAGAATCTAGACTTTAGAGACCTACTTGGTTAGACTACTGTATACATGCTATCACGCTCGTGAGGCAGATGCTGCGAAATACCGCCTCGAGGACACAGAAGAGACTCTCATGGATGAAGTAAATGTCCAAATTTCAATGATTTTGGCCATTTAGGAAAAACAATTATGACACAATGGGAGTTGGTATGAAGAAGTCAGCAGGCAGCTTGATTGGGTCTCTCTTTAATGACAGGACCCTCGACAAGGCTAGTTTGATGAGTTTCTCTTGACGAAGTAACCAAGTTGGGAAAACGAGGTCAAAGCACTTCTACACAATCACAAGAGACGGCGACCAAAACAAAGGTTACAACATATCGGTCTTCATGCTTCCTATGCTTCTTCGATTTTAGCCAAATAAAATTTCCTGTCATCTCTTCCTGGAAAATGCAACCGATGCTATCATATTATCTAGGATCGGGGTCTAATCATCCTTTCTGATGCATGGTAGAATTTTTCCGTGATCCTTGTTAGTAACTTTTCATATTTTTCCATTTTCCTAGGCTAGAATGCATTTGTTGTGTATAATAAATACTCGAAACCGATTTTTTACGAGCTCACACTATATTCATTTATTTTTAACTTGATCACATTTGTCATCATCAAATTTGCTTTGTGCAATTTATTAGTTTCGTTGCTAATTTTTGCCAAAAATAAATTGTTACATTTTTTCACCTGTCCTTTTCAGTCACCCACAAACCATCCCAGTCCTGTTGGTAGTAGGGCCGTCGCTAATGCTGAGGTTGTAAGGTTTAACAGTGACAATGCTGGCAATCGTATGGATGAAAATCTGTCTCGTTTAATTCGTGGATGTCACGATCTCAAGAATATTGCTTTCATGGGAACTTTGGTGACAAGTGGCAATGCCAGGGGCCTGGTGATTGCTACGGGTTCTCATTCGGAGTTCGGCGAGGTCTTCAAATTGATGCAGTCAGAAGAAGTGAGAAATTCGCGACTTTCATTTCTATTCTTTTTGAGGGCCATTTCGATGTGATAAAAATTCGAATTTAAAATCTATTTTGAGCTAGCGACTATTTTTGTCTGTACCGAGAGCTTATCGTTACTTCAGATTAGCATTGCTCATGCTGCTGGTTGCATTAATGCTCGATATATTTTGTTTGATAGATTTGCAGATAAGTCCCTTTACTAGAATAAATTAATTATAGAACCATTTTAATGTATGAGTAAGTTTCGCAACTATCGGTAGATCTTTAACAAGAATTTAATAAGTCGCTTAGGGTTATGAAGGACTGAGAGTTGAATTTACCCACAATCATATTAGTAGGCCTCACTATGCAATTTAATTTTATTTAGCCTTACTTCCCAAAAGAGATTAGCTTCCCGGCTACACTCAATTACAGTTTTAATCTAGTCCGGCTATCATCAGCTTCTCAGCGGCAACCCAAGCCAGTCGGCGCAGCTTATTTTTTCGGCATTTTACCACAGCGCCACATTTCCACAGTTTTTATTAAAAATTTTATTTTTTCATTGCAATCGACTACGTTAATTATGTTCAGTTAGTTTATTTCAAAAGTTTTAGGATGACTATTACTCTTATAAAAGATATAAGTATGCATTTTAATAGGGTATTCTATTTATGATTAAACCCTAATTTTTTATCGACAATCTCATTCAAATGTGATAAAGGAGAGGTCTCTATTGCCTTGAATGTCCTGTCTGCTCTGCGATCTATTGGCATCTGTGGTATTATGGCATAGTAGTAATATGGGTTAAGAAACGTTTCACTCTCTTGGTTTGATTCCTTTTAGAGTTGGTAATGAGACCAAAACGAAGTCGAGTTTACAGGCCATCCTGCATAATAGTACTTTTGATAGGCAAGCTAAGTGAAATTCGATGGTATCGTAAGGTTTACTCATATAATTGCGGAAGAATTCAACTATTAACCCTTTATATATGTGATGAAGGGTGACTGAGACTCTTATTTAATTTCAATTATGCCGAGCCTTAAACTTGCACAGAATGTGTGCTCAAACGACTAGGACTTTATAATTTTATCGTGGTTTTGTGGAATCCTCTACATAGATTTGCTCCTGTTATACTGTGATCTGACTCGAGTACACTTTGCCGTTTGTTTCGCGCTACCCTGTTTTATATCCCCTTTGGATTGATGATTAGAATTAAGCGTGATCAAAATTGAGGCCCATCTTTAATGAAAATACCTTTGGCAGGCATGACAAAGAGGAATTCAATTACTTTATTAGGCCTTCTACTGATTATAGCGGGAAATTTAACTATTGGTCCTCTATTGTCTTAGGCAGCTTTAATTGACTAAAGTTTTTGCGGAGAAAAGTTGAGTTTCGAAGAAGCTTCCGTTTTACAATTGTTGAGCTTAATTCCATTCAGAGTTAAAGTGTTTGATGAAGGTCTCCTAATCTCTCTTTACGTATTCACCATTCAAAAAGGTATTCTTTATTATTCTAATATTATTTTAATCGGGCCTAAGGGGTAATTATTCTCAATAAATATTAGTTTAAGTCTATCCAGTTCATTTTCATAATGGTCTATATCGGCTAGTCTTATGCTTCGTATGATCATAAATTTAGGAAAGCCAACCTTTCTTTTATTACTATGATTGGAGAAGAAATTAAGGATAAAACCAGTGTGTGTTGGCTTACTATAGAAATCCCTGCTTAACTTCTCACTTGCTCTGATCACTAAATCATCCACAGAAGGTCAATCATTGTCCTTCTCTATCTCCATTGCCAACTTAACATTATAATTAATCTAGTTAATTAAGAAGAAGAAACTATTTAAACTATCATTACCATGCTGCCATGTGACAAAGCAGTCATCTTTATGTCTAATTAACCGCTTGCATGAAACGGTCCTCCATTCTTGACGTGTAATCACTCGCAAAAATGGGAGCTATACAAGATCCCATTGCCAAATATTGCACCTTTTCATAATACTTATTGTTGAAGTTGAAGTATGTGCTACTCATGGATTGATTAAGTAGCCTTATGCTCGAGCTTTTGCTCAGATTTCTTCCTTTACTAGTATCTTGGTGTTCATCCAGGCTGAGTGAAAGTGCTTAAATAGCCTTCTTAACTGGGAGGTTGGAATACATTGATACGGGATCGAAACTCGCCAAAAGGTCTTCTCTAATGCCTTGTTGATCTATTATTCTAATAAATATGAAATGGATTCTTCACTGAAGAATGGTGCAAATCTATAAACATATTTTAACCCATGCTTGCTTTCTGGTGTCTTAGGCGAGTGTTTTTAAATACTGCGACCACACAAAAGGCCACACCATCTTGGTCTTCATACCTTCGACTAAGTCCTTTCATTTGCAATCATAAAGTTTTTACGGGCCAGCTTTGTTCATTCTTTTCTTAGGATGTTTCAGGGTGCAAAGTGGGCACCGATACCTGCCGACTATTGTATTAGTCTATTCACATTGTTCTTCAAGGCTCTTACCTTACAGCCTTTGTAGTAGATAAATATGCTTTAGTAATCATAGACATTTCATTTTTCGACCAGTTACTCTGGCCTTATATCAGCAGCAAGTTTCGTTATGTAATTCCTCATGAGCCCTTCTTTATTAGATAAAATCCGGAGGAAAGTTACTTTTCCATAGTTGTATTTTTGTGGAATTACTACTGAACATGGCCTATGAAAGACTAAGATCATTGATCTCGTATCTCTTAGTAACTAGACTATACAAGTTTTTTGGGATTAGATGAACTCACTTTTTACTTGGCTTATTTTGTGTGGCTACTTCTACATGGATAAACTTGTTTTCTGCTTCTCTATATCTTCTTAATTGTGTCTGATGAGACGGAATTAGCTCTCCTCTCTTTTTTAGGGAAAACATATTTGTCGATTATTCGAAGTTATTTTTTGGGGGAACCTTAGATTTCTCACCTACGTTCTTATTAGCTGTATTATGCTAGAATTTTTCTTAATTTAGTTCTAAGAAAAATATCTTTTAACGACTTCCATGTAATGCGTTTGAGCAAATATTAAGCTTCTAATGAATTTAATCTAGAAAAAACTGCTACCTTTTTTTCGCCACATTTTCCTTAACATTTGTGAAATTGCCTAATCAATGAACTAGTTTATCCGCAATTGCAAATATATAAGAAAGCATAGTAAAATCATCAGAAATTTAGTTCATGTC